AAGTACATATAAATAAAAAATAATGTTCTATTGATAATCATTTATAATAAAACTTTTAGATGTCTTATGCTGCAACATGAAGAAATATATCAATTAACTCCAGTATAATAATGACTACATCTGGGAGAAAAGTTCAGGAATGAATTGTTGTATGATCTGTTAGTTAAATTTTAATGCAGTTCTCAAATTTCCATACAACCTTTTCTTAGGAAAACTACTCTAGCAAGCTTGCCTGTGTAGTGCTGGATGAGGCCAAATGCTTGCAAGGAGTTAAACATGTTTAGCATTTCCCATAAACGCATGATGACCTCACTAGCATGTGGATTACTGTAAGTCAAATGGAGTGTAGGATAAACACCGAGGTGACAAGATTTATTTTTCCAACGAAAGGGTTCAAAAGGAAACACTTTAAGTCCAAGTGGCTGGGGATTTTTCTACCTGGTCACTTTTCCAGCACATCATACATAAGCACATTGGATAATGTATACCATTCCTTACCTCCTACAAAACATTTGCAATGAAAAACTATCCAAGGATTTGCATGTACAACAGTAAGTCTACTGAAAGGCCAGGAAGTCAAGCTTTACTTAATAAGAAGGAAATGAGGCTGATGACATCAATAATGGACTAATAGAAAGTATATGAGTAATAGTTTTAAAGCACTACATTGGTTTTCAATTATACTTCAATATTTCACCCGAAAATTTCCATAGGCAATGTTATTTGAGACCGCAAGCTGTTTTAATTGCAGGGTGGGACTCAAGGTCTTATTCTATTATTAAGTAGAACATTACTTATGTTAAATCTTCTAACTATATAATCTCCTACAACATATTTAATGCATGTGATTTGTATTTTGTGTAGCGTTTTCTTTTACAAGGCAGCATGATATATACACAGATAGATAGAGAGAATGCTTAAAACCTTTGGAAGGTCTCAGCTTTGAAAACTTCACGGGAACAGATGTTCCCTCACTACAGTTTTAGTGACATCTGTCAACAGTGGTATGATAAAGGGGAAAGGAACAGGGGTGCCATTAAAGGAAACCTTTTCAGAGAGATTTATGAATGATGCCATGTCTGATTTCTCATTCTGCAAATGCTAGTTCCCTGGTTTTTATGCTGACCATCAGATTTTAATACTTTGAGTCACTGACTGAGAACAAGTATGCAGATAAGTAGTTCTAGCTTTTGGATATGCTTATTTGTTCCAGGTCAGTGACATGGAATCTGTTGACATAATCATAGACATAGTCAGCATTGTAGCCAAGCAACTAGCATTCTGAGGGGATCAGCCATGGCAGACTCTATGTTTCTCTGAAAAAGAATTAAACTGTTAGGCTTGTTGTTCCTTAAAACAGGTGCACGTTGAAGCTGATAAAAGTTTTCTTACAGTTTTACTATTTTCTGATCTTATTCAGCCCATTTGACAATCAGTATTTGGGTAAGAACATAAATCAAAACTCAATAGCCAAAAAAGGGGTTTTCTCAAGAGATACAGTACCCATGGGTCAAGAGAAAGTTCAGTTTCTATGCTTCCCTACAAATGCAGTTCTAACAGAACCACAAGCACATTACTTATTCTGTAAATACTATTATTACTATCAGGTTAAGAACAGTGATAGCACTGACAGTTCTTCCTTACCTATGCATGTTTTCATGTCCATGCTGGCCATAAACCCATCAAAGCAGAGACAGCGGTACTCTCCTGGGATGTTTGTACACTGTCCTCCATCACAGATTTCTGGATTTTCTTCACACTCATCAATATCTAGAAAAGAGTAACAAATAGGAAACATACCTTGAGAAGTATTTGAAATATGACATATTCTGTGCTTTTTTTTTTCTTCCATGCATGGATAAATATGAAATATGTTGCTCATTGTGCTGACTATATGATAAACTTCCTTTGCTTATCGAACTCCATCTAAATCGACTGAGAACTAATATTACCATAACAAAAAATTAGCCCGTGATAGTCCTATATTGGCAGCCTCTTTCAATCTATACATTGATTTAAAGATTTAACTATCACATGTATGGTTTTGACTGTGAATATTTAAAGAGGGATGGATTGTCTGTAGTGAGTTAAAACATACTTCCTGGCATCTTCCAGATCAAATAGGAAGCTCTGCTATGTAATATACAAAATATAAAAGATTTAATAATTTTTGGCAATGTAAGTGTTTAGGGCAAAAAGCTTTGGTCTTAAATATACTCAATCTCCTATTTAAAAATGGGATGAGTATACCTATTCCTTCATGAAATACTCTATTTAACTGTTGAAATACTCTATTTAACATATCTATCAAGCAGGCAGTAATAATTTAGATATATCTATATATATAAATATATATAGATATATATAGATATAGATATATACAGTATATCTATAGATATATATATTGAGATGTGCAATAATTTGGTGCCATTAAAGTAGAGCTGAACTCAAAATGTAAAGGTTTCCTATGCTACAGAAAACATTTAGAAATGATAATTGTGCCTAATCAGTGTTCTGAAAAACTATTTTTTATGTCTGGCCTCATAACTGTATATCTGCCGTGTGAGATCAAAGGCACCATTTCCTTTAACTGCCAGTATCAAGAGACTTGGAATGAGACTTGGAAATGTCACTGCTGTGATGTTCATTGTTCTCCTTGCTGGAGGCTCTGAAGAGGAAAAAGCCTGGCCTGTACTTAGATAGCCACCTCCATACAGAGACACAATGCAGAATAAGGTAGGGTGACAAGTCCTTTGCCCTCTGCCTGTCTTTTTTTGTTGGGGAGCACAGCTTCCAAAGTTCAGTCCCTAATTTGTGTAAGACCCAATCAATGGTTTAAATGGTTTTGATATTCTTCTGGAAAATGAACTACATTTTAGTAAAATACTCTGATAACTTTTATTAGTTGTGTATATTAATTTGTTACAAATTGCTATATTTTTAACAACAGATTTATTCTATTTAGGATTAAAAGGTGTTATTCCAAACAAATCCTACTCTTGGGGGGTACAGTTTTGTTTTATACTCATAAAACTGTTCATGCAGGTTATTGTGGGCTTTCAGTGAATGAAAAAATAGACAGAGATATAAATGTAGTTGATATTATATGTATATAAAAAGCATAGTATCGACTACGTATAATATGTATATAAACGTAGTCTATATTATAGTTGTGTAGGGGGTTGCGGGGGGTGCCGTAATATTTAGCTAAAACACACTGCTATCTATTTGCTATAGTCTTTGAATGAATGCATTGCCTATAGAGAGACATATACAGATACACTAGGAAAGTAGTCAAATAGAAACAGTAAGTTCCATAAAGCTATAGTTTTTTCCAGCTAGTAGACTTGCAATAATTCTATTTTCAAAATATTTCAAAGTCACAACCTCTTACCCAGAAACGTGACCTAAAAACGATTGTGGTGGATTTGGCTTAACCTTTGTTATAATGAAATGAGAGTGATGAGATCACCTTACATAAATCACACTTAGCCTGTCGTGTTCAGGGGAAACTGTCTGCCTGCCATACTGTATAGTCAGCAAACATTTATAATTGTCATACAAAGTATAGCAGACTTTAATCTCCAGTCTGGCAAGCCAGGTTACTGTGTTGTAATTCATACACCTTCTGGCATTTGTGGATAACTAAAAATGTTTGAAATTCACAACTTGTGTTACCTAGTATATCACAGAGTCATATAATTCATCGATTCCATGCATCCAGGGCCATCTTTAATGCAGGGCAAAAGGGGCAGTCGCCCAGGGCCCAATCATTGTAGTGGGGCCCAAAGCAGCTGCCCCTTCAGCACACATAAGCAGTGGCGGAACTACCGCCTGTGCGGGCGCATCAGGGCCTCGGGCCTCTAGGGGGCTCAGCACAGTCCCAGCGCCGGATCGGTACCCAGTGGCCAGCAGGCCCCCCATCTCTGCGCCGAGAGTGTCGGATCATCCGTTCATCCGACACTCCCGGCGCAGAGATGGGGGGCC